AACTGCTCTTTCATCCAACTCCTTTGTTTCCCAATCAGCACATTCTGACTGGCTATGTGCTGATTATTCCATAAGTATGTTCTGTAAAATGTGACTAAATACTGTACCTTTAAAGCTACCCCTGATTTCTGCTCTGCTGGTTTCTAAAGTAGTTGGAAGTTAGCCGGAGTCAGCATTTCCTGTTTTGGTGAATGCCATCTTCATCAGGTTTAATGACCCCTCTGCAGAAACCGTCACTGAGAGTCAGTCCTATTTCATATTATCTAAATCAAAACCATAAAATATTACAACAAAAGCAAAAATGCACACATTTTCCAAATCCAAGGACACGCTTTTGACTCCAGTGCTTGCTGTGAATATAATTTAAAGCGTGGTTTTGTGCATGTGCAGAAAGAGTTGTAGCCTACCATACGTGCTCAATGTTTGTACCTCATCATTGAAAGCTGTTTTATATATCTTTGTAATTAAAGCAAGTTCAGCTCAGTGTTGGAATCATATGTGTGATGATCTCCTCTGAGGAGGAGTTTAATCATGTGGCTGATTCATTAAGTGTGTCGGTGTTTGTGGTGGGATTGGTTTCGTTCTTGTACAGTTCAGTGGAAACAGGTCAAGCAGACTGAAGGAACCAAAGAGTACTCTACTGTACTTAGTGTGTGTGTGTGTGTGTGTGTGTGTGTGTGTGTGTGTGTGTGTGTGTGTGTGTGTGTGTGTGTGTGTTATGGCTATGCAGGAAATAATATTTTAAGATTGTGGCCTCCTTAGTCCCCCCACCCACCCCCCATCCCCGTCTCTCTGGCACTTCCTTTTCTCAGCACTGGTTCTGGTTACTCTGCACTGTATCTGACCCTGACCTTCGACCTCTCTGTGGAAAGGAGAAGGGTCAGCTGCACAAAAATGTCACAACACACATCAATCACATATCATAGTATATCCTCCTTTTTTTTCCCTAATCCCTACTTCACAGCTTCCTCTGTCTACCCTCTCTCCAATTATCTATCCTCTTTTTTTCTCTCTTTCTTTCTTTCTTACTCCTCCCTTTTGTCTTCCCCTCTCTTCATCTCCAGTTTTACCTCTTTCTATCTCTCTCTCTCTTTTCTCTCTCTTTCTGGTATGTGCTGCCCAGAAGCAGCTGAGTGGAGGAATGCTGCTGCAACAAGCCCATACACAACCCCAAGGGAGGGAGGCTCCCAGCACAAACACACACACACACACACACACACACACACACACACACACACACACACACACACACACACACACACACACACACTATCTTTATCTTCATGACATTTGTTCCCTGATTTTCAAGCCTCACTACTACATGATGAACTCCTTCCTTGCTGCAGCAAAGGACAGAGCATGAATCTGCATGTTTCTGAACATTGCATGATGAGTATATCAAGTCCTGGCACACACACACACACACACACACACACACACACACACACACACACACACACACACATACACACACTCACGCACACACACACTCATAGAGCATGAGCCTGCCTGTTGCAGTAATGAAGAAGGGTGAAAATGTCTGCCCTCAGGGTAGACGAATGACTCAGTAGCATGTTACACAACACTGATATTGCCTTCTTCTGTTTCAGGCTGCAGAACTCAGTCATTTCCATACACAAGTCGAGGTAAAAGAGGCGTACATGACATGAATATCATAACATGCTCGGTTACATGTTACATGTTGCAATAAACATTAAGAGGCCACTAAAGCAATAACGGGTTTGTGAATATGTGAATTGGAAACACCTCATGAAGCTGGAAGAGATTGATAACAAAAATGACTGGATGAAATGCACTCATAAAGTCTGGTGTCTTGCATGGGAAAAAAGATAAGTGCATCCTTGATGACATTTAGCAAGGTGGAGATTGCAAAAAATTTAAAAAATTTTTACAGGGTAAACTTGATGCAGGACATAAAGAATAGAAGAAGAAATGTCTGATGATTACACATCAGATGTTAAGAGGAGAAACTATAAGATCAGACAGACAATTACAGGATAAATTGCTTCTTTATTGTGCTCTAGAGATTTGCGATCAAGGAATTAAATCTCCTGTGAGGAACTTTAGGTTTGCTTACATTTTGGCACCCCTTGTGGACTAAGCAGTCTTTGCTCTCTCAAGTAGTTATTCCTGACAAAAAATCTCATCCAGTTTATTTTTGATAGAATATGATAATGATGAACCATGTTGCTGATGTTTTTTTCTCTCTCTTGGACATCATAAAAAAGCATCAATATGAATCCAGTGCATTCCCAAGATGCCAAAAAAATCCTCACAGGATTCCTAACATCACATAAAGAACGAGGCACTTGTAAACAAACATTTACACCCATAGAGGATTTCTTAATGAAGAACAAGAGGAAATGAGTGCCAGAAAAAATACCGCTCTCAAAACTGTAGAGTACTGCGTGGCAAGAATTCAACTGGAAATTACAAATGAGGTTCATTAAAACTCCTGATGTAACTATATGGGACCAAAGCAAGACAAATCACAGACGAAATGCACATAAATTTGAGACCAGAAAACCACCCTTCCAACGTTATGACCATCTCCAGCCTAAATCACCGAATCAATTAGACATTATGAATCTATTCCTGCATGTTTCTGTTATTGTATATGACCCACACTCCTCAGGGCACATCTGCTAACTGAAGATATTCTTTTGAAACTTTTGATTATAGTGGCATGAGTATAGAAGAGTGTGACGGTGAGAGTGTGTGTGTCTGTGTGTGAAGAGTGGGCTGAGAGTGTGCAGTGGGTGATGTGGCACTGCTCTGCCCTATCATGTGTGTGCTGCAGCAACACCCTCAGTGTAACCCAGAACAGATTCCAGCCATCCTGTCTCTGTCTTCACCAATGTCAATCAGGGGCAGGCACACACACACACACACACACACACACACACACACACACACACACACACACACTGGCAGGCAGCCAGACATTGGCGGTTGGACGCTCTGTCAGATTTAGACATGTAATTGCTGTCCTAGCTTTTCAGAGCTGTGTGTGTATGTGCATGTGTGTGTGTATGTATTTGTGTGTGTGTGAGTGTGTGTTTGCCTCTGAGTCAGAGTATAAAAGTAAAAAAATTGTGTGTTTTACAATATTGTGTTAGTTATTAATACTCCACCTGTATATTAACAATGTGACAACAGAGTCTGACGTAATATTCACTAAAACAGAGAACAACCCCCAAACCAGATTTTTTTTTTTACCTTATTGGCGAGAGCATGAAAGGAGGAAAACATTCAGGATTCAGAAAGACTGTTTTCAGGAGAGTCTTTAAACTGAACTAGATATCGTTTACCCAATGGCACCATCTAGTGGGCAATCATGGCAAGTTTCAGTAACAAGATAACCTGAGACTAGTATTTCAATGATTACAATGTTGGGCTACTTAAAGGGATATTCCGGTGTAAAATTAAATTAGGATCAAACAAAGCGTAACAGAGAGTTAGACACCCCCTCCAGAGATGAATGATGCTGACCGCTTGCTTCTCTAGTTTTACCAAGTGTAATAACAATCACAATACAGAGAGCCACACGCTCAACCAAAAAGCCACTCTATAGCCCTAAATAATGCTCAGAACAGCAGCTAACTTCATCATCAGTACATATAGAGTCCCAGCCACAGCACGAGCCAACAAACATCTTTTTAACTTTGCCTGTTTTCTTTAGCAAAGAGACTAAACACAACTCACTCTTTCTCTTCCAGCAGCCGCTTGTTTGTATGGAGACCCCCAGGCGAGTCCATCGACTGCAGTGGGTCAACACAGCTCAAGGAAGAACATTTATGATCATTTCTATATCATTTCCTTGAAGTAATAATCACCATATTAAGCATTTTGTACAGTAGACGCGGTAGTTCTTCTGCCTTACTGTCTCGATCTGATTGCATTTCCATGAGGAAATGATTATAAATGTTCTTCCTTGAGCTGTGTCACCCCACTGCAGTCGATGGACTCACCTGGAGGTCTCTGTACAAACAAGCAGCTGCTGGAAGAGAGTAGGTGAGTTGTGTTTAGTCTCTTTGCTAAAGAAATCAGGCAAAGCTAAAAAGATGTTTGGTGACTAGTCCTGTGGCTAGGACCCTATATGTTCTGTTGATGAAGTTAGGTGCTGTTCTAAGCATTATTTGTGGCTACAGAGTGGCGTTTTGGTTGAGCGCGTGGCTCTCTGTATTGCTACTGCGTGGTTGTCACTAAAGTTGGTAAAACTAGAGAAGCAAGCAGTTATCACACACTTAGATAGCCTTATAACAAACAGATTTATTCATCTTAATGAGACACTGCTCCTACTTAAGATCCAGAGGCTGTAAAGGAGTAGTGTTGGCTGTTGATAAGTGCATAATGAAAGATTCATCAATCCTTCAAGGCAATAATCTTTAACTTTTACAGTCTTATTCGCGTTGGATAACTTATAAATAAAGATAGTAAAACTAATTATGACTTCTTTTAATTTCTCTGTTATCTTTCATTTTATCACACCCTTAATTTAACCTCTGTTATGCCTTATATGACACCCAAAGCTGTTTATGTGTTTTTACATCCTTACCTAACCCTATAACAAATCACATTACCCCAATATGACCCAAAACAAACACTTTATACACTCTGTTTTTACACTTTTTTAAATACTTTCAAGCATTTCTTTGTAATACCCTTGACTAACCCCTTTCTGCTCACTCCTTATTACACCCTTAATGTTCCTCTTATTACACTTATTCTTACACTCGTGCATATCTCAACCTACAAAAACATAAAATAGTGCAGCAGAGTGTCATCTTTTTCCTCCCTGGATCCCACGCACAGTTTAGCCTTATGTGGGTTTATTACCTCCATACAGGGGGTGGAGTCTTGACGGTCAGGGATCTGGATTTCCTCCTCTTCTCTTGTCTTTTAACAAACATCAGCTAAGAAGTCACTCTGTGGATTCCCTCCCTCTGAAGCGGCTGCTGAATCGAGTTGTTGAAGAGATGGCTGCAGAGACGGAGGAGACTAAGAAGAGGTTTTTCAGGAAACACAGCTGTGAACGGTGGACTGCAACACTGATGGTTGGGATATATGCGGTACGTTTTAGTGTCCTCATTTCAATGTCCTGCTTCTTCTGATAGTTTTCTCACTCATATCTTTCTTCTCATATGAATTACATTTTAATTCTATAGCTACTCTTCGTTCTGGACAAATCCAGCGAACAGTTTGTGGCAAAAATGTGTGTCAATTGACCGCTCGAACACGGGGTAGAGCTACGGTGGCCCTGAGGCGCAATGGCACAAATATGACATGAAAGTGATAAACAAGTAATTCAAATCAGGAAAAAATATACTCATTTAAAATATTTCTTGAAAAAAAAAAAAAAAAAACACACACACACACAAACATAAAAAAATATTTTGGAAACACAAAGAAATGTTATAAAAGGTTACAAAATATTTTCTTATTTCAAAAATATTTTTTATTTATGTTTTTTTACATTTATTTGTTTCTTCTCATATATTTTGTGTCCATGTGAGAAATTACCACATATTGTATGATGGAGTATTAGGGCCACATTAAGAAAAAAAAAAAGAAGACTTCGAGATTAAAGCCACGAACTTACAAGAATAAAGTCGTAATAAAATCATTACTTACGATAATAAAGTCGTAATAAACTAATTACGTACGAGAATAAAGTTGTAATAAAGTAATCACTTACTAGGGTAAAGTCAGAATAAAGTTTTTATATTCTAACCTGTTGTTTAAGATGACAGTTGTTGAAATGAGAGCCATGGAGCATTACATGAAAATATACTTCCATAAAGGTTTCTCAAACATGGAGATACTTAATCTTTTGGCACATCAGCACCACATTATCATAAGTATGATAATGATTATTATTAGTAACTTTATTCTTGTAAGTATTGTTTTTACGACGACTTTATTTTCGTAAGTAATTACTTTGTTACGACTTTATTCTCGTAAGAAATGATTTTACTACGACTTTCTTCTCGTAAGTAATTACAGTATTACAACTTTATTCTTGTAAGTAATTACTTTGTTACGACTTTATTCTCGTAAGAAATTATTGTTCTACGACTTTCTTCTCATAAGTAATTACTTCATTATGACTTTTCTCGTAAGAAAAGATTTTACCACGACTTTATTCTCGTTAGTAATGACTCAATTCTCGTAAATTAATGACTTTAATATCCAAGTCTAAATCTTTTTTTAATGTGGTCCTAATACTCTGCCGTAATATTGTAATATGTTTTTAACTTTGTAAAAATTTTGCTTGCATTTATGAAATACTTTTATATCGCCTTCCTGAAATACATGTGCCGTTGACCTTCAGGGCCACCGTCAAAGGCCTACTCCTCTTTAAGTGAAGTCTTGTGATTCGTGTAAAATTAGCATGAGTGACAGAACAGCAGGAGACATCACTGTTTGTTATTCAAAGAAGAGTTACATTGCAAGAAAAAGGAGGAGAGGAAAACTGATCAGCTCTGAGAACAACTTACAGTCAAACGTGTTGGAGATGTTGGAGCAGGTACCACACTGCAGTCAGCCTCTGTCAGATTGGTTTATTGTCTACTGGCTGGAAGTATGAAACTGTTTCAGAGGGGAAAACGGTCTTTAAATCAAACCCAAGTGAAACTAACCATTTTATTCAGTTGTTGTTCAATGCTGTTGTGTATACGAACAAAAATAAATGTGAAATCTGAGTTGGAGAATTGATGACATTGCACTTAGTAACAACAAATCTTAGTTCAAATGGAAACTGAACTTCCACCGTCATGTATTTAGCGACTTTCCTCCACCGTGTGATAGCGTGATATTTGAGCTGTTCAATAAGGCTTCTGTCTCTCTCTAGGTTTGGTGTTCGCTGTTGGTCATTTTAACTGCATCAGGTGTTTTTTTGGACAGCCAGAACTTTGAATGCCGGGACACCAACGAGGTAATACTACACAACTGCACTGCTTTTTGGTCAGTAAATTATTCTAATGTGAAACTCATGAGTTTATCTGAATTTTTATCCATCCACTTTTGATTTTACATCCCTGAGAAAATCTGGTTCCATCTGAGATTATTTTTAGATAAATAAAAATGAAAATTGGAATCTTGAAAATATCAAGTTCACTGGGCCTCGAGTTGTATTTTGATCACGTTGATGATTGTTGAATTTTTCTCTCGTAGAACTTTGTTGCATCAAGGCTGAAAAGTGAGGCCAACCTTGTGTACTTGTGGTCAGGACTTAGTCTGCCTTCATGTGCCCTGATGCTAGTGGAACTCTGGAGAAAAAAGGGCCACTATAAAATAACGGTATGTAGATATCTATTTGAGACTTGCAGAAGTATTCATTGAGAAGATAAATAAACAAATAAATATTTTTGGTTTTCTCTCCCCAGGCAGTTTGCATGATCATATTCCTGTCTGTGGTTATGATATCAACTTTGATCCTTTTGGGAAAAGAAGAGGCTCAGGTTGGCAAGTCCTAATGTAGGATTAGGTCAAAGTTAAAGACATTTTTCAAATAAAGATTAGACAATCCATGTGCAGTAAGAACATTAATGTTGATTTGTGCTGTTTGCATCCAGGATATCCAAGAGTTGATGAGCCGCTACCATGGTTTATTTCCCCTTTGGAACCCAACAAACAGGTTTACTGGCACGGGGTGTGATGAACTCCATAATGTGTACCGCTGGCAGGCTGAGGTAAGAAAGAAAATCTATTTTATAATTCTCATAATTTTGTGTATGTGTGTGTATGATAGGACCATTTGTACAGTCAAGAATTTGTAAAAACAGTATCTTACACTGAAAAAGTAAAAATGAACCCTGAGGAAACATACTTTAAGATTCAGCTTTCCACAATTTCAAGGAGATTTATAGCAAATTTTTAATTATCATTGAGCGGTGGCCGCTAATCATTTTTATTTTATTTTTTAATATCTATCCCATGGTCCATAACTTTGGTAACAACAGCTGATCTGAACTACCACCAAACAGTCAATGAGAAGGGCTAGACTCTAGCTCAAAAACTGGAAGAGAACTTTCGCCTAGGAGCTGGTTGAGACCATAAACAGATAAACATGCGGCCGGCATTTTGGACCTCACGATATTAATAAGTGGCAATCCTGGGGCTCATCATTGAGGGTGAAAGCGTTTAAGTGTGTACATCCGCAGTCGAAGATAGTTATAGCTTTTGGTCTCCAAAGTCCTGAATCACCTCTGGTTGTGTGTGTGTGCTGGCTTCAGTTTAAATGTTGTGGACTCAGAGGCTACAAAGACTGGACACCCTCAATCCCAGATTCCTGCTTGTGCAGCGTCCAGGACAACAGCACCGGATGTGTGAGTCAACAAAAACACACAGCACTCATTTGTCATGCAAATTCATTTTTCATGACAAAATTAATTTTGTTTCCTGTTTTACGCTGTGAGAAACAAAAGTAATGTTGACCTGTCTGTTTTAGGTTCGTGTTGGAGACAGCCTGGTTTATAAAAAGGTACTTCTGAATGAACAAACACAGCTTTAAAATGTCAGAATCTTACACATATTTTTCATGAAACACATCAAAGAGAAATTGTTATCTTTTTAACACTCCTGTTTGCCTGTTTCAGCCTTGCCTTCCTATAGTTGTGCTCCTTGCAAAAACACGCAGCCGTTCTTTTTGGGCCGTAATGATATTTTGGGTAAGAATGCCTTAATTTCAATAAGACAGGACTTTTACTTCTTTCAGTCATTTGTATTTAAGAAATTGCAACATCATTAAGTCTTAAAAAAAGGCAATATACTCATGTTGTCTCCAAATCCATGATTTGCAGGAAGACACTCGCTTGATTGAACAGAAGTTGGTGAAATAATAAAATTGAAAATTAAAAAGAAAATTAATAAAGTCAGAGCCATATTAAGGATGAAAAATATTTGATATTTTGAGAATAAAGTTGCATATTGCAAGAATGAAATCTTGATATTGTGAGACTAAAGTTCTTAAAGAATTCGGTTCAATCTAAAGCTCCAGTGAGGAACTTTAAGCTTGTGTCAGTTTTGGCGCCCCCTGTGGACAAAATAGTGAGCAGTGATTTATGACCACAGATATCATCCTGCTGACTTTTGACAGCCAAGTTTTTCATTCACTGTGAATAATTTAGGTGCAATTTGTAAAAGCAGGGCTGCGTTTACAGCTGCGAGGTTACAGACCGACCCCCTCAATTGAGTTTTTAGATGATAAAAACAAGAATATCAAAATCTTCAGTCATGTTGATTAAACCATTGTTGGCTTTTGTATATGATTGAAAAGCATTACCATGAATTTTAGTCAATTTCATAGATGCCCCAAAACTCCTTATAGGAGATAATGAGAAATAAAACAATATACAGAGAAATTAGTGAATGATTTTACATGGAATAAAATAAATAAGTTCAAAAGTTATAGTTAAATACAATTAAATCAAATAGAGGTCAGCTAAAGAAGCCAAAAATAGTAGAAAACTAAATAAAAAACTCCAACTATGAAAATCAAGAGCCAGGTTTGAGAGATATATATCAACTGTCCTTCAAAACCAAACAGAGTGAGCTCACAGTTTTAATATCCAGAGACAGCGAACTGCAGAGTTGTAATGCATAAAAACAGAAACTCTCTCACTGCTGTTTGTGTGGGGCAATCAAAGAACACTGAAAAGGGAAACACTGGAGGACTTTAGTAAGTTCACTGTAAAATTATGATATAGCTGAATGGGGCTTAGATCTGTGATGACAGTCATTAGTCTACATGAGTAACATAAATTCATGAGATTAATGAACCACATTCATATCATTTGATTCATAATCTTTCAAGAGTTAAGTTTGATTATGATGAAAGAAGTCCTATTTACAGACTCTTATGAGTGGATTTGTAAAATAAAAATAATCATCATATGAAGTTAAACTCAACATGTGAGGACAGGCGGTGGTTGCAAAATCAATTAATTCTCATAATATCAAGACCTCATTCTCGTGACAGTTTGTTGTTTCAATTACATTATACTTTTTATAGTGTGGTTTGTTATTTCAAAATGCATCTTTCTGATTTTCATAACTTTTTTTTAATGTGTTCAGGTCAACTATGTTGGATTTCCTATTTCTCTCTTTGCACTAATGGTGGTGGGGTCGTTCTTTTTCCTGCTTTATTTAGTGAGTATCATGACATGAGAAAATGAGAAAGAAGTTACTTTCAGTGTTATGAATAAAATACCAACTTTATAGAACAGTTAAACACAAAGCCAAATCTCTTCTTTCTGTTTATAGGAAACATCTGCATGTTACTACAATAAACTGAGCTCTTGGATTTACAAGAAAAAAGGAGGGGTAGAAATGGTACCAGTTGTGTTCATCAGGAAAAACAAAAACAGCCAAAGTGAAGAGGAAAACAGCAAAAATGTAGAAGCAGGAGAAAAAATTGTGAATGAAAATGTGGTCTTGGATGTAGAAGATGGACAGACTGTTGAAGAGGAAGCACAAGAAACAATAGATGATGATTGGAATAACAAGCGATTAATGTGGATCCCTCTGTCAGAGTTCACCAAGCTGCAGGAAGAGCTGGATCCCCCTCCTTCTCAACACCAGGTTCGATGCTTGTGTTTAATAACAGAACGTAAGAGTAAGTTCTACACGGTCCTGATAGATGAGGGGTCACCACTTTTACCCGCGGGTGCCGAGCTAGTTGATCCTGACAAACCCACTCACATAACTCTTGCGATAAGGGGACATTTGTATTCTGTTGAGGATATTGTTTGGCCCCAACTCAGAACTTCAAGGATAAATCAGCCACTGTAGTGTTTGGTTGGTGCTGTCTGTATATTAGCTGACTGTTTATTTTCACTCTGCTTTTCACAACAGTAGCAAAATCATAAAGTGTAAAGACTTTCATATCAGTAATGATGACTAAAAAATATTTACTTAAAGCACTGGCTGACTTTCCTTGAATGAGAAATTTCAAACTTTGTCAGCTGTTAGCATTTTGGCAGTAAAGACTGTGATTAAGCCGTGTGATTGGTCAGTTCAACTTTTCGGTTTGGGATAAGAAATGTACCAAATACATCAACAAAACTTTGGCTGGACTGCTCCAAAGTGTTTGGAAAGATTTTTACATGAGGATTTTGATCATCCCGAGGCTCCTTCCTGGTGACAGAACTCAGCTCTAATGTCAGAATGCTGAAAAAAGGATCATTCTGGGGGCGAAAAGTAAAAATTCCAGAAAAAAAGAGGGAATTCTGATTTTGAAGTCAAGTTTTGAGTCTTAAAGTCAGAATTTTGGAAAAAAAAAACGAGACTTGTGGAAGAAAGAATGAGGTTTTTGAGTTTAAAGTGTGGTTCTGAGTTTTAAAAGTGGGGTCTGAGAAAACAGTCACAATTCTGACTGTTATATCAGAAATCAGAGTTTAAAAAAGTTGCCTAAATTTTCTTTTTAGGTGCCTTGCCCTCTTTCATATCATTGAATTAAAAAATAGATTTTCTTTATGAAACGCAGAAATATTTTGACACACATACACACAAAAAACCATTTTAAAACGAAGTATTTTTCAAGACAAATAGATTTCATGAATGAAACACATCACTTCCTTCGATCTTATGTATCTCATAATTAGATTTGCTTTTAACATCACATGGTACGAACACTTTCTGTGGAAACCTGAAATCTTTGAAAAGTTAATTTCGTTTTCTCTTGTTTGGTGAAATATTTTTTGGTGTTCAAAGATATTTTTGGCGCCATGAAATGAAGATACAGTTGACTTTCAGGGTCAGAGTAGTCAGGGGGTCTTCCCATTCTCAAAGTATTTTTCAGTATGAGATAAGAGAAACTTTATTGATCCCCAAAGTGGAATCCAATGGTGAGTTACCAAGAGTCTTCCTCTGGGGATCATGAATGTCTTAACAAAATATCAAATTGAAGATGATGTGAAATTTCAGTCTCTTCTTGGTGTTTCACAACCTCCTTAACCATAAATTTGATAAAGGCTTCCCTTTCCTGCTGATTCTGGTTCAGGGATTCCAACTGTGGGACCTGGTTTGTCTAAGCAAAATGATGTCAAGTTTATGAACTTGTGACGGGAAACCTTGGCCTGTTTGGAATATGTTGCTAAGCAACCCTCCTCTGCTTTCAGACTGTATAATCCAATTTATACAAAGCAGGGTGCTTTGGCTGACTACAGCAATTGTTAACAGCTGTAAATCATGTGAAGGGAGTGTCTGCAGGGAGAGAGAGACTTGGATCCCTGCAGACTAGAGAAAGGCTTTCTCAGATTGAACATTTTAACTTTTTAGGAACAATCTAATGGAAACTCTGATGTAAGACTGATATTTGTTGTTAAATCACAGAGTGCAATGAAAAACTACAAAATTTCTGTAAAAACACCTTGTCTCTGTCATCAAAAACAGGCTTGCACCTTCTCTTGTGTCATGCTTTCACATTAAATGACCTTTTAAGTTGTTTGAGATACAGTTGTAAATATTTATATCACCTTCCTTGCAGGTGTGATTATGCATTTCGTCCACTTTCTTTGTTTTATAAAGCTCTGAATAAACTGTACGTCTGATAGACTGTTTGGTGGTCGGCTGAAATCAAATTATTCATACAGTAAAGCTTGTCATGTTTCACCACATTATGGTTTTGATGCAGGAACTCGCAACCAATCACAGATGAAGATTCTAGGTCAAACTATTGTAGCTGCTTTTAATGAACACGTAAGCACGTTTGTAGAAAGAATGTGCTTCAGTAAAGTTTCAAGAGCATCATGTTTCAAGTAAACGGTCAAAGTCTGAACATAACACATAATAATTTAAATTCAAATAAATAAGACTGTGAATAACATCTAACAGATACAGAGCACAAAAAAGTCAACGCTCTGGAGCACGGCGAACAAGTGCAAAAACAAAAATTGTACAAGTGAGGCTTCAAAAAAAAGCAAAGGTAGAATGTAGGTACAGTGACAGAGACTTTTTCACTTGTGCTTAAAACTCCTGACTTTACATTCAAGTATAAAATAATCACGTATAAGTAGAAAATTGTTTTTCTGGAGGAGCACAGCACTGTCAGTGACTCCTTGTTGAGATTCTTTTATCTTGAGCCCTGAGCTTCCTGGTTTTTGTGTCATGGCTCTATTGTAAATAATCACAAGACACTCTGGTGGAGGGATGCAGGAGGCGCACGCACGCACACACACACGCGCACGCACACACACAAACACACACACACACACACACGCACCCTGTGTATGCAGAATGTAACAGTGTCTAAAGAATACATCATACAGAGGCAAAGATTACAGTGAGCTTTGGCAGTCACTCTCCTGTAATCTGTAAACAGCTGCTCACCACAGTCAACAATATGACCCTTTCTGAGGCAGTGCTCCGGTTTTTTCCTCCTCTGGACCCTCTTCTGGTCATCTGCAGCTCCTAGGTCCATTAAATGTCAGTGGCAGACAGTTTCAGGTCTCTGAGGATTACAAGTAAATCATGGATACCAAGGATGACACAATTTCCGACAAACTTGAATCGTGTTCACAACACAAACATTACACTCTCTTGTTTGTATGGTAGGGTGGACCGGGGCTTGTTGTCACACTTTTTACACTCTTATATATTACTTGGAATCAACACATCATATAAAAACAAAATGTGTACCACACAAAAGACCAAAGTCTCATGTATATGTTTCGTATTCATGTCATTTTCATATCTTGTGTCAGTGCAGAGTTATAAATAGAGAGTGTGAACATGTGACATGTTGCCCCACCATGAGGTAAGTTGTCTCACTACATGGGGTAAGATGTCACAGTGGATTTTACAGCTAATAAAACAAGGACAAAATTATTATCAATTTTTTACTTAAAAGTAAACATCAAATTCAGACACAGAAAATGTTTATCATTGAGCAAGTTGTTGAACATAGCCATTAAACAAACGTTAACATAAAATATTATCAACATGCTCTGGAGTTTGGAGAGCTGTCTGACTCTGTATTTCAGCTGGGGTGAATGTTTTTGCAGTACTGAGCCAAAGTATGGTAGCTGACATTAAAGTCCTTTATTGTGCCCCAAAATGACTGAGACATGTTGCCCCAAACTACCATGTTTGCTAATTAAAGCTCTAGATTTAAGTTATCTTAAAACAGAACAATGACTGAGCTATGACAACATGCCTTAATCTCTCCTCTAACAAATCCACATGTATCACTGTTAGGATTTTTATCTACAAGAAGCTTATTTTAAAATATATAAGGTTAACTTTTTTTACTTTTGGTTGTGCGATATGGTTACTTGGCGCTCATCTCAGCTCACAATGTGCTCTTCTCTTCTCAGACAGGACGCGACCCCTGACCACGTAAAGGAAGAAAACTAGTATTCCGCGTTTTAATTGCGCCCTCTGGTGGCAAAGATAATTGCAATGTGACAACTTACCCATGTGACAACAAGCCCTGGTCTCCCCTACCGTATTGTTTTGTATGATATTATGATATCTTTTTGAATTGTAAAATCAAAGAAAACGTCACTTCTTACCTACAACATCAGCTGTGTCATCAGACAGGGGGTCATTGTTCGATCTGTACTTGGTACCAAAGATCTGCACCAACTGGTCAAAGTACTTGCATTCTTGTTTCTCCCCTCTGTATAAAAAACAGAATTTCAGACTTTGACATCTTAGTTTAAAGTTTTACTTTAGATATCTGAACATGCAAAGAAAATAAAGTGAAAAATGAATGACCGACTCCAGCATATTCCAAAGTCAATATGCTGCTTTGCTGTACTTACTGTCTGCCTTCAAGGAAGTGTCTGAAATTGGCCCTCAGCCTTTTTATTCTAGTCTGACACTGCTCTGGAGTGCGCATATAGCCCTGACTGGCCATGACCTCAGCAATCTGGATAAAGATGTGCTTGTTCTTTGTGCAGCCCTTCAAGTTCTCTTGGACATCCTCGCTCCCCCAGATGTCCAAGAGGGCTTCTGTCTCCCCGTCGCCCCAGGGCAGCTTTGAGCTTTCAGCTACCCACGATGAACCTGAGAGAAAGTACAGAGAGGAGGTTTTAGAAAAGAAACAACAACTATGTAGCATAATGACAAAATCTGCTCAAAGGGTTGTATGAGGATGAAGATGATTTTAAAGCTCTAGTAAGTAATTTTTAACAGGTTGCGAGAGAGCCTAAAACTAATGATGAGGCGTCTTTGTGAGCTAAACAAACCATTTATTAGCAATGCAGCTAATAAAAAAAAAAAACAGTGTCTTTTGAGAAAAACTGATTCTGCTGATATTTTAAAGTAAAAACTATTATTTATTGTGAATATTTTATGTGGAAATGATAAAAAAAAAAAATATCAGCTTCTTGGTTGCCACCTACCCCCTCGCACCAGATTCAGGCACTGAAATTTGCATGATAAAAGTTGTTAAACCTGTTTCAGATGATCTTGTTTGCTTCTGTATACCATGAAATGCTTCAATATGTTTTTTTTTAATCTGTATCAACTATGCTTCTCACCTGAATTTTAACTGTACATTATCTACTCTAATTTCTATAGCTTAAATGTAGGCTCATGGTAAAAACTATAAAAAGCATATTCCCATATTCATTGGTGTTATATTCACAAGTTTCAACTCCTCAACTCCTGGTTTGAAGAAAAAAAAACACCGATCAAGACTGAAATTTGACAAACCTTTCTTTTGAGTAGAAACAGGTTCATAATCATCCGGCTCATCTGGAGCTGAGACCTCAGCGGATGAGTCGTCCACTTTCAGCTCCCTTCTGAAGATTTCATCCATCTCTCTGAAGAATTTAAAGTCCTCCCTGAAATCATCGAACAAACAGAAAACAGACAAGTCACCACATTTGAATTTGTAGCCTGGGATTCATCGAGAAAACACAAAAGGTTTTTTGAAACAATAAAAAAAAAATACAGAAAAATGCAACGAGTTCAGTAAATATCTCAAAAGTGTGTTTTATCAAAGAGGGGACTCAGTAATATACACAGCAATTTCTGAAACATCAAAAAATAAATCTTAAAATAAAAGGAAAAATTAAAAATGTCCCATAAGATCCCCATGAGGAAAACAAATAATCATCCATTTCTTCACTAACTTTTCATGTAAGAAGCCATATTTGAGGCGCTTAATGCGGGTGTAGCACTGCTCTGAGGTGCGAATGAATCCCTGGCTGCTCATCTTCTCAGAAATGTACACAAACACGTGGCGGTTCTTCTGGCAGCCCCTCAGTGTGAGCTGTACCGCGTCTTCACCCCAGATCTCCAGGAGGGTGCGGGTCTCCTGGTCTGACCAGGGCGTCTTTTTGCTCAGGTCGGTGAGAAGTTGGCTCCCTGAGGGCTGATCATCTAAAAAAACAAACCAAACAAATTTGTTTATTTTTATTTTTAAGGATCTATAGCTGGCTTTCTAACACAAACTGCGTACAAGGGTTTGATGATACTTCAGCTTACACATTTCAGGATCATTGTCTATGATGGGCTGTATGGTAGAATCAGCAGCTGTACTGTCCATGTCAGCAAACACAGAGTCATCACCGAGCACCGGGGCCAGAAGGTGGAAGTATCGAAACACAGAGGGCCGTCCATTTCTACTTGAACCAAAATCGAGATTTGAATCATCATTTGGCAAAATAATAACTCAATCATGTTCGATCATCTGGTTTATTTACCTCCGGTTGTTACAGAATCGCCTGTACGCCTTCTTCAGTCTCTTGATGCGTGATTGGCACTGCTCTGCCGTCCTGGGGTATCCCGTAACAGTCATTCTCTCAGCTATGTCTGCGAATATGTGCCCGTTTCTCACACAAGCTTTCAGGCTGTGCTGCACGTCGTCTGCAGCCCAAACTTCAACCAAAGCAACCGTCTCCTCCTCTGTCCATGCTGTGTTTAAAGCGTCTGCACCTGATTCTGATGAAAGCAACAGACAGGGAGGTTTATTAAATGTGTATCATGCAGTGCTTTTTTCCTCTTCTGCTGTGAGTGTAAAACGTACCTTGATCCACCTCTGCTTGCTCATCTCTTTCATCATATTCATCCATGGAAACTGCCTCCTGTCCGAGTACCAGCTCCATCTGACTGTAGAATTTATAATCAACGCTTCTTCCACTTCTTGAAAGCGTAAAAAGATGTGAATGTAATTGTTAGTTCATATTCAATCATTCTTACAAACTCGATTCTCAATTCTCGGACAAAAAGACTGAAAAACAGATCTCACTTCTTCCTGTCGTAACACTGTCGAAAGTTGTTCCTCAGAGATTTGACTTTCCAGCGGCACTGCTCCGGGGTTTTGAAGTAACCGAGCTCCTGCATCCTCTCCGAAATCTCATCATAAACGTGACCATTGTGGACAAAACCCCTCAGTACCTTCTGTACATCTTCTACGCCCCAGATCTCGATAAGAGCGAGAGTCTCCTCATCGGACCATGAGCTTGGTGCTGGTTTCTCTGTGGACATGATTTCTCCATCTTGCGGGAAAAACAGATGGTGTTATCGTCGGCTTTTGGTATGATAACAGTGTGTTTCAACCACAAAGTTATTTCATTCAGTCTAAATAAATGATAAAGTTATTAAGTTATGCATGAATTTCACACAAAGCATTGAAATACCGATTAAGACAACATTTAGCAATCCCACATTCAAAATTCAACATCTGTCTTTATTACATGCTGCCAAATGCTGATGAAAATTCACTTTTAACTTCTGTATAAAACAAACACCCACTGACAGGCCAGAGAGGTGAAGTTGTACCTGTTTCTGTCACTGACTCACTGTTGGAGTCCTCTGATATCTCGATGGAGTCAGTGATCACAGTGGAGGACGTTGACGGCTGCTTGTCCAGGATTTGTTCCAGCAGATCGTAGAATTTAAAGTCCACTCTGTCACTGCCAGAGGAGCTGCGCGTGGTAAATGCAGTTGCTTTGACACACATAAAGAGACCACAGTAGAATAAAGAGGAATAACATCGGTGTGAATTTTTTTACCTCATGTTTTCTCGACATTGCCGATAGTTCGCTTTCAGCCGTTTGATCCTGGTGTGGCACTGATCTGGGCTGCGGTAATAGCCGTTGGCGTTGAGTTTCTCTGATATTTCAGAGAAAATGTGACCGTTGTGCGGGTAACGTCTCATGCTCTTTTGGACCTAAACTCAGAGGGAAACACGCAAAACACTTTCAGTGATTAGACATAATGCTCCTGCAAATAAAAATTCAAAGAGAGCCATTATGGTGAGCTGATGCTAACATCCTCAGTTTTTGAGTTCATCAGAAAAATCGAATATGACACCGTCTCCTACCTGCTGGTCTCCCCATAACTCCAGAAGGATGATGGTCTCTTTGTCCGACCAAGGGACTTTTTTCCTGTCCTCCTGAACGCCCACAGCAGACTCTGAGGAGGCACAAACAGAAATGATTGAAACGATAACTTTATTGAGCTGATTCTGCCATCAACTTTGTATTGATCCTTTCACCATCATCGAAGTTGAGGTTGAACATGTTCCTCCAAAAGTATTACATAAAACAGAACTAGCAGGTAGCCTCCCCCACTACTAACTACAAAGTTATTGTCGTTGAGTCAGCTGTTGTTGCTGAAACATGAACTTTGACACATGGACACGTGTTTCGGGACTTAAATCTGACCTGTTAAGTTTAGAAAAGAACATCATCCCCTTTCCAGGATATTTACGAATTAATTATATCACAGATTGAGTATTTCTCAAGTGGATTTAGATGACTCTTGGGTTGAGTTTTTAAAAAACGCTTCACAGCAGGCTGGAGTTTCTTTCAAAAACATGTTTAACACACAATTGAAACTATACAGAGAATTAATCACCAACATTTTTACTTCACATTTGTTGGTAAATGTATGATAAAAGTATGGTAACATTTCTTTTGAGTTTTTTTGTTTGGATGATGATGAAAAACTAGAGAAGAGGAACTTTTTTGTATCAGATTTTAAAGCCAGCAAGAAGAGGCAGGATACGATAATAAGACAGTGCTGTAAAAGGGACATGAAACTTTATGATGACTTGTGATGAATGCTGGACTGTACTCTGGTGTAAACTCATCGAGCTCGGGTACTTGGTTTACATTACTCCTCAATAACAGAGAGTTCTGGAAGAATTGTTTCATTTCTTGGAATTTGCTCCAAATAAAGTGGAACATAAAAATCGACAACTGCTTCTCCATGTTTGGTCCTGACTCTGGAGACAAAAAGCAGACCTGTCAGATGGTCGGTATCTGGAGTTCTTTATTCTAGCTACAGCAGTATCTTTACCAAGACATGAAAAAGGTGGTTCACTATTAAATATTCCCTGTGTGGTAAAATTACTCTGTACAGTTCTCAATGCTGAGGAGTCAAAATGACCAACCCATCCAGAATAAGCTCAGGATATTCATTTTTGTTCTTACTCTTGGGAAAGTCTTTAAAACTCAAATTGAACATTTTCTTGGCTTCAGAATATCTCCTGCTACCAGTTTTGATGTTTTACCTGTATCAGGCTGGGCGAAAGAGGGGATGTCTTCTGGTGGCTCCTCTGAAGACATTTCCTCTCCCTGTGGCACTGGGAGGAAGTCCTTCACCAAGATTCTTCCCAGCTCGTTATAAAACTTGCACTGGACCTGCTCCTCTCCCTTCAAACTAGATTAAGAGGTAAGAAAAGGGCAGATAATACAGTTAATCCAAAACTTTAACAACCTGAACACTTTTCTTTTCCCTTTTATGTTACGTCTCAACATGTAGATCAAAAATTCAATGTGTAGCTCAGAAGATTTGAACTGCCTGAAAAAAAGTGCGACCAGAACACATACTTGTTCTGGTAGCACTGTCTGAAACTGGACCTCAGCCTCTTCAGCCTGGTTTGGCACTGCTCTGGTGTTCGGGAAAAGCCTTGAGCAGCCATCTTGTTGGATACGACAAAGAAGATGTGCCCGCTTCCTTTGTTTCCTCTCAGCTCCTGCTGCATCCTTTCTTCACCCCATGTGTTTATGAGGGTCAGTGTCTCCAAGTCCGTCCACGGGACACTTCGAGTTCCTTAAATAGAGAGAGTGAAAACAGCGTGTGAAAAGTATGGAGTCAAATTCTGTCTGTATTTGTCATTTCAGTGTGCCCTACACTATATTTTTGGTGAAGTTTGACAGCATCATTTTGTCCTTCTTCTCAATCCTGGTTAAATGCTTACAGAGCTGATTATCGTACCTATTTCCAACTGGCTTGTTTGGCCAACAAACTGCAGGTCATCATCGGCATCTTGAGGCAGCTCTTCATCATTCATCTCTTCAACATCATACGAGACCTCAGGAAAAGCCGAAGGAGCTGAGGAGCCGAGGATTCGCTGCAGCTGCTCATAAAACTTATACTCCAGCCTGGAGCTCCCTCTGGTGTTAGATCAGGGAAAAGGGGAACAGAAATTACAGCTGTGTAATGAGGTCTGCTGAGAAAGACATTTATCTGATGAACTGCAATGATTGGACAACAAACAGGAAGGGTTTATCACTCACTTGTTGTTCCGTCTGAAGCTTTTCTTCAGCCGTTTGATCCTGGTCTGACACTGCTCCACTGATCTCATGAAGCCTCTCTCTGCCATCCTCTGAGAGATCTGTGTGAAAATGTGACGGTTCTTTAAACAGCCCTTCAAAGCCCGCTGCACGGAGTCCTTCCCCCAGATGTCGAGCAGGTGGAGCGTCTCCTCGTCTGACCACGGGACTTTTGTGTCAGTTATGACTGGCAGTGAACCTTCTTGAGAGTCTGAAATGAAAAAAAATGTATTCTTGGGTCTGATCTTCGACTAATGGATCCAAACAGAACTAATACTAACAGTTATTTATGGACAGACAAGAAAAGAAAACACAAACAGAACAGGATAATACAAGCGACAAAGGTAGTACTAATAGAAGCATAAATTTGATCTACAGTATACAGCTGGATTCTGATGGAAATTTGATCTATTCTGAGTTTATGTGTAAAGTTTGATGTTTTATAATCTTTTTATCATTCAAACACTTTCTTAGTTTCAATACGTTCATGTTAATTATTCATAAAACAAATTTTGATGATCTTACGCTCATGCAAGCATGTGGTAGATTTATCCAGTTACAAAAGTTCGTATGTATGTGGGAGCTTTTGAAGAGCAGAGAGAGAGAGAGAGAGCAGCTGGTGTGAGATGAAAAGGTCATGTTAAGAGTAACAGAAATAGAAAACCATGAATATGCTGAAAGGTGTCTGGAGTTGTGCTTTGTAGTTATATTTTTCTTCTGGCTAACTGATGGGTTTTAAATCAAATTTTGGGGTTGTAAGTTCATTTCTTTTGCACTGAATTTTTTCATGTAATCATTTTTGATTGTTTAATAAAAACACAATAAGAGTTTTTAAACATTTTTGGTTAGATTTTTTTCTCTGAGAGAGCCAGAGTACAAGCATGCACACTTAGAGAGCAGTAAAGTCACTTCTCTGCTGATAACCATAACTACACCACATAGAGGGTCTCCACTGGAAGGACACTGTTTCACCCACAGGAGGAAGGCTCCAACATGTCCACAACGGTTACATCACTGGCTCATCTTAGTGTCTGGTATTTCTCCAGATATAGTTCATAGGGGTATGCTGCTCAAGTGTAGCCATTCAAACTATCTGACTAAGATGAGCACATGACATTTTGAAGTTCAGAGTTTTGACTATTTATCGTCATCTCTACCGTTTTCTGTGTTTGGCTATTACATTGGGTTTGTGTCCTAAGTTTCAGTGCAGCAGAGTCTGGTGGGGTCGCGGTGAGGCGGTCTCCACTCTGATGAGGCGCAGCTGTCCCTCGTTAGAAGCAATCAGCAGCTGCTCTTAAGCTCCAGCTCTGGCTCCCGCAATCTGCCACTTTACGCCAGCTTCTCTCCATGCTTTTGCTAATGCTGTTTTCCTTGTCTCAATGGTGCTCTCCATGCTACCCTCAGCACCTCCAGCCAACAACTCCTAAACTTCTGAATGACAAGCTACCTATAATAAATCTCATTTACCACCTCGCAACTTGTCTCAGTCTCCCAAACAGGGCCTATTTGAGTTAATAGATAGATAGATAGATAGATAGATAGATAGATAGATAGATAGCTAGCTAGATAGATAGATAGATAGATAGATAGATAGATAGATAGATAGATAGATAGATAGATAGATAGATAGATAGATAGATAGTTAGATGTGCTGAGTGTCTTTGGTATAATGTTATAAAGAAAAATGATAAAAACACTGAAGGTAATTCTAATCCTGTTAATGTAATAATGATTCACAATACTGCTTTACATTACGTTTTGCTTAAATAGAATAATTGGCTGATCAATATGCTGATAAATCACAATAATCTTAAATAGCAGACAAACAGAACAAACCTGTATATTCTCCCCATATGGAGATCAGAGGAGATTCAGCTGAATTCTCAACGTCCACTGATGGATCTCTGTCGAAGAAGAAAAACATACAACGGAGCAGATTTTTGAACACCCTTTTATAATTTTTTTTTGAAAAACACCAAATCAACAACTTCTGGTAAGAGTATATTACTTAGAATAAAATATTTTGGCCACAAACTAAAACAAACTTTTTTATAATCAAATTTTCTGAAGTGTTGACATTAAGCAAAAAAAAAAAAAAAAGGAAAAAAAAAAAATAGCGATCTATCGAACTTACAAGAAAGTTGCGGCCTCTGCAGGCTGTTTGCTGGGAACGTCCACCCCTCCACTCAGCTTCCTCTTCCTAAGAATCCGGCCTCCTCTTAAACTTTGGCTCTTATCACTGGCTGCTGAATCGGAGTCTGCAGCCTCGTTAGTTGTAGTGAGGTCTATGGTTTCATCACATGTCCTTGAACTAACCGCGCTCTGTGCTTTCCTCTCCTGAGAACCGTGCTGTCTCATCTTTCTCAGTCTTTGTCTCAACCAGCTTGTCTTCCTATGGCTGCTCATGTTGGAGGTAGCACTGGGATGTCCCTGGTGCTCAGGAGGGTCTGAGTCTTTTGGAGAAGGTGAGCAGGAGGTGAGGTTTGTGGTGGATTTGGCCCCAGGAGAAACAGACAAGGAGGAAAGGATGCAGTCATCCATGGGTAATAACCGAGGATCTACGAATGAGGACAAGAGGATTAATTAGACCCTAACTAACTTGGACTGTTGAAGGACAAACAAAGGTATCAAACTCAAATTGTTTTCCATATGTAAAGTGCATTTCAACCAAAAATACCAGTAGACAAGAGATAAGATTAATTCATTTTCTTCTGTATTCGCAGACAAAAACAAAAACAAACACTGTTTGCCACCAGCATAAGGAACAGAGCATGTAAAAGAAAAGACAGACACAGTTATTTGAATAATTTAGGGACTATGCTAAAAAATAATTAGGCAAAAACATAAACACCAAAACACAATCCTATCCCCGTGTTTAAGTACATGACATGTATTTAAGCGTCACACTCAAAGGTTTCAGCTGATATGGAGATATTGAACAACTAACTCTCCTTTTCCCACATCCAAGTGTGTGTCTCTTTGCTCAAATGTATATTAAGAACCCATTTTTCATTATAAATCTGTGTGAGATTCCCATTTGACGTTGATAAACTGGTGGGTAATTTTCCCTCGCTCTATACTAGTCTGCTGGTGCAGGTTCTACTTTCCTCTGCAATATTGCAGGTAACACTAGAGTGTGAAATCTCATTACCTTTCTCTTCAAAATGCCCAAGGTTTCTGTGATGTTCAAGTACCGCCTTCATGTCCTCAGGTGGGAAGAAGGATTGTAAACAGTCGTCAAGGAATGAAGGAGTGTCTCTGAGAAAATCTGCCAACTGGGGAGAAGAGAGACCGTCATATTTAGAGGAGAAAAATCAGGGTTTGTTTAACTTTGTGCAGGCAAGGAACTTTCAATAATTCCAGAAAGAAACATGGATTACTAAAATATGAAACTGTTTTGTTAGAGTGAAGCCAGCCTTTAAAATTGTCATGCGAAAACCAGCTTTGTTATGTCACGGAAATGACCTTAGTCTCCTGCCACTGTTTGGTGCAGAAAACAGAGTGAGCAAGAAGAAATCTACTGAGACTCAATGGTGCACCTGCGCCCACTTTACACTCTTCTATATCTGTCTGTGCATCAGAGCTGCAGACAGATGAGCCCTACATCCAGCTTGTATGCTACAATCTGCCTGAAACACTGATGCAGCTCAGAAAAATGAGAGGGCTGTTTCACTTTTAGACATGTGTCTGTGTCACACTTGGTTTACTTTGATAATGAAATAAAAGGAAGTGGATAAACAAGTTTGCATACGAATCTCTAAGGGCCCAGTAAGCTCCCCAGGCAGATTGTCATGACCTTTTGTATTTGCATGAACGCTGCAGAGTATGGCTTTGACAGGACAGTGAAACAAGCTTTACAGGAGCACTTAAAAAGGATTGTAGAGATAACAAAACCAAAACCTTTTTCCTCATGTTAGTGTACAAGTATGGAGCACAATTTGCTTCAGTTCAGCAAGCTGTTAATCAGTTAAAAAATAGATGAAGAAATAAGACCAATTATAGCTTAAAAAATATCCTGTTTGTTCCAAAAAGTATTTGTAATAATAAAAAAGATTTTTTTCTGTGTAAATGTTAATGTGATTTTATTTCAACAGACTTAAACTTTTCAGCTCATGTCCTCCGTCTTGAAAAGGTTAACATCCGTGCAGATTTAGAGGAGGTGAAGTCGTGCCAGAAATCCTTACTCTGCAAAGCTTTCAAAGTTCAAAATCAGGGCACCTGTGTGAAGTCTGGGGCAGGCAGAAGCTCCTCCAGTCGAGATATAAACTCCCACACCAGCATTTCAAGAGCTGCGTCATACTTTGGGCCAAAATACACCGGGAAGACTTCCTGTGGGCGAGGATAAGATATAAACAGATCAGGAGTGAGGGATACATTAAGGTCAAGTTCACTGGCAAAGTTATCTCTCATTTTTACCAGACTTGTGGAGTGTCTCAGATATTCTGTTTGACACAAACTCTTTGAAACCTCGAGGCTCTAAAATGTAGCAGCTGTATGAGGATTTTGAGACTGTGGTTGCAATTCTGTCACAACTGTATTAAGTGGTTCATTAAACTCCCTGTCACTGATAAACAATAAGCTGTGTCAGAGGTACAGGTCCAAATGTTTTGTACTTAGCTTCCTGTTTTATACAAGTGCCTTTTGACGACAGAATAACAACTTATTTTAAGCATTTTTTAAATACACTGAGTTAAAATTTTTTTGATTTCTCATCACAGCTGGTCCAAGAGTTTATCCCTTTAACTGAAACACCGATCTGTTTTATGTTGATCCTTCACTTTGTTTTTTAAAGCTACCTGTTCTCTCAGATTTCAAACAGCATCTGAATACAACCTGGAAGTAAATTATTTTGTGCTTTGTACACCCCCTGTGCAGTTTTAGTTCTTACTAAATTATAAAATGTGAGTTCCTTTAAGCGTATAATTCTTGCATTTGTTGATTCGTAGTAATTTGTGTGTGAAATTCAGATGATGCTCGCTCACCCTGTTGGGGTTCCAATCTGTTGTTAACAGCCTGTTTCTGTGGTTGTGAGCCATTGTCTGACAGGCTTAGGCCTCAAATATCAAAGACAGAAACCAGATCCACAAAAACAAAACCTGGATTTCATCCAAAACCATCAAAGCTCTTTGGTAGTTCAAAAGAACATGACACTTTTTAATAGATGACTGTTAATAGCTCTGGAGATCCTGTCCAAGGACTCCCCTTTGAACTGTGTAACACTAGGAGAGCGGCAGCTCTGTCATCTATCCACTCTGGACGTTCCAGTGTTACCCTCTGCTGTTTAGCTGTCCTTTCTCCTGACATGTACTCTCTCCTAGCAAAGGTAAAGTAAACCCTAATACAAGACTGTAATTTTGATTTGCCTATTATAGTTGTCCTGTTTCTGTCATTTACTATATCAAGCTAGTTTACATGCTAATTACATATTTCATCAGAAACTAGGATGGCGATTGTGACATAACGCAATCAAGATTATTTACTATGTTGAATTAAGTGAGTAAAGACGAAGCAGAACATCATGAGCACCTGTGTAAGCCCCACTCTAGTCAGGATAGGGCTATTTTGGTCTTGACCTGAGGAGACATGTCAGGTCCACCAGACCTCTGAAGGTGTGCTGTGGTATTTGGCACTAAGACAGTGGCACGTCCCCACAGCTCTGTTAGTTGTGAGGTTTGGCCTTCATGGATTGGATTTAGTAGTCCAGCACATCCCGCTGGTGTTCTTTAGGACTGAGATCGGTAGAATTTGGAGGCTAAGTCAGTATTTTCATATTTGACCAGACCACATTAAAATATTGCTCTGGGGTCCAGCGCCCATGGCCATTTGTCCTCTATAGGTGCTGAGTATGGACAAGGAACTCTGACTAGTTGGTGGCCACACAGCCCAAATGCAACCAACTGCAAAGGGCTGTATGTTCCGACAACTTTCTAACAGAACATTTTTTAGCAGTTTGAGATCCACTTGCTCTTCTGTTGGATCTTTTTCATCAGGTATTTTTTCTTGGACCACTTTTAGGAGCACCAGATCACTGCAGACTGGTAATACCCTATCAAACCATCACAACTGAAACCCTGTCAAAGTCACACATATCCCTATACTGGCCTTTTTCTAACACATCAGCTCAAAGAACAAAATGTTCACTTTCAGTGTGACGCTCCCCTTCCTCTGACAAGTGCCACTGTAAAGACTCAATCAGCGTCATTCACTTTACCTGTCAACAGACATAACGCTATGACTGATCGATGTGTAAATGAGTGTGTATGTCCTTTTGTTTACAGTGTTTATGAATGTAAGTTTGTATATTTATGTATAGATACACGTTCTCCAAATCAACTGCCCCAAGAGAGATGCAAACAGAGATGGATCAAAATACCAACAACATGGTTTCTACAGCTGCTGGAGAAACTGTGGCTTCCAGCAAGTAAGTCATTACCACTGTTTTTGGTCCTGTCCTTACATACACACTTTTTCAGTGTTCGATATATCAAGAATTGAGGAATATTTCTGATGTCAAAGTTTATTTTCTACATACATGTACATACATACATGTTTATTTTATAAGTTTCATTTTAAGAGTTATATTCGAAAAAAAACTGAGATGATAGATTACGTGCAAAGTTGTAACAATGTTATTTTCCTTGTGTTGCACTTTAAATATGATGCAGTGTGCTAAATAAAGAAACAGACAATTAGTAAAGACTGCTGCCTCACTTGAAAAAAATAGGTCCTTTCAGTGGGATCCTCCAGCAGTGAATGCACCAACTCCACAAAGTTCACCTCAGACTCCTCCACCTGGTTGATGGTTACCTGTTGAACACACATACGGAAAACTTTGTCTTATTTGCAGCTAAACCAGATTCTACATTATTTATACAGAGCAAATGTTTTCCATATTTGACTTTCACAACTTTTATTCATTCAAGCTCATACCGCTTAAATAAAACAACTATGTGTTCTTGCCATGAAAAAATTGGGGATGCATATAGAGTCATATAGGTCAATGAAAAGAGACGAACCAGTGGACTCATTATGTAGACAGAAACACTTGTGGGTTTGCCATCAACTATTCACTTACCTGGTGATCCTTGGCAGAGCTGACAGGGGCTTTAATTCTGTCCAGATGTGGCTGAATGGTCTGCATGTCCGCTGGGTGTTCACCTCGACACATCTCCAGGACCAGCTGAAAGTGCACACAGAAAAAAATGCCATAAATCGCACAATAAATGATCCATCGTCGCCTGATTAAAAGCACTGTAGTGGTGAAAAAAAGGAAGAAATGGCAACAAAGGTAAAGAAAGCATCAGACAGAAGATATCTGTTAAACTAATGGACTCTATCCTGCTTCAGTTCAGTTCCTTTCAGATAGCGCAGCAGCTTCATTATAGATACTAAATTTGCATCATTTAGAAACAAGACTCCAATCTGCAAAAATACTCAGGATAAATCCTGGATCACAGGTAAAAACAAAGAGAAATTCATATAGCTGGATTATTGTTCTGTAACATGAGTGAGTATGAAAGGTGACAGACAGGGGCAGGATTTAGAAAAGACAGTTTCTGAAGACATTGTATTTTAAATTCTAGCTAAAATGTTGATGGTAAACTAGTTGTTTGGCCTCAAGATTTGAATATTATAAATAATGTATGAAATGTCAGAACACTTTGATGTAGATTTTATGTTTGTGGTATAAAATGAGAAAAATTGAGCAGGTTTGGAAGTCTCGCTGCCTTTTTTCTCTCCCAAAAATCTGCTCTCTGTTGATAGGGGGGGACGGTGTGTCAGCTGCTTTGATCCTTTATTGCCCGGAGGCTCACGGTGCCATAATTGTAAGTCTGTTTTCTCCCATGTTTGCCACCCATGCAAATTTTTCTTCATTCTGAGGTATAAAAATGTAAAACCCTGATTTCAAAAAGTCGGGCTAATGTGTAAAATATCAATAAGCACAGACTTTGACGGTTTGCAAATCAAGCAAATCCTACATTTAACTGGCAATGAAGAGACAATATCACAAATGTTGAAACTGAAAAACTAACTGAAAATTTTATGCCAGCATCACATTTAAAAAAATTTGGAACAAAAGTGCATGTTTACAATTGTGTTGCATCACCTCTTATATTAACAGCACTCTCGTTTGAGAGTCTGTCAGATAGACAGTTTACATGATTTGCAAACCATCAGATTTTGTTTTTAAATTTTTACAAAGCCCTTCAACTTCAACAAGGATTTAAGAGTTAATAATACAAACCCTGGCTCTTAGTCCCAGGATGAGCTGTGCCCTCTGACTGTAGCTCATCAGCTCTGGGACCAGCTCTGTCACCATGGTGACAAACTCCTCCAGCATCCCATAGTGGTCCACAAGTCCCTGCTGCACTACCTGCCACACTGCAGCTGATAAAAGCTGCAAGGGTGGAGCCAGGAGGCGCAGATAGTGGACTGGAAGATCATTACCTGTGAAAGGAGAAGGAAGAGGTGTGATATTTTCAGATGTTGTGTGACTTAACATCAAACATGTCCTTCATTTCTAATAAGAAAACAAAAAAACAAGAGCTAAAGAGAATAACTGTGAACCTAGTACCCAGGTTACACAAAATACCTGGACAAATCTACCTGTTAAGGTTTTTACACAGCCAGGGAGGGGTTTTACTAATGGGTTTGGGAAGCCATTTCCTGGCTTGATCATGCAAGCAAAGTGTTATATTTTCATCTTACTTTTATGTTACAAAACTTTTTAACTGCTTTGATATAAATCTTTATCTAATAGGCAGTGTGTTAAAAACATACTGCCAAGAGGAAAAAGTGAACATTGTGTGGATGTCTTTCAAATAAATGACCAGAAATGAAATATACAATTAAATATATTTCATATTGATTTCCTGTCTTCATTTTAATTTAATGAAAATTAGAACATGCAAGTCCAACCACATTAAAATTCATCCAAAGCATGCTTATGAGTAATTTCTTTATTCTGCTCACACTCAACCATGAATGAGGATAACCTTGATGTAAAGACCTCAACATAATGTTAATTTATGCTCATAAAAGGTGATTAATAGCAGAGCTTTCAGGGTCAGTGATAATGTTTATTGGTTTTGGTCTAATGAAAAAATTGTTGAATCAATACAACTGCTCAGATATGACCCTGCTTTGAAGTTTGTCAAGTTATTGTATGCATTCATGAACCTGGACAGTTCTGTGTTCAGGTTTTTCCTTCTTCCCTCTCCAAAGTATTGTTGTTTTGACAAGGAAGAATGACCTGAAGCCTTGCTCAGTGACAGCCAACTTAAACTCCAATCTGATCCACAATCTGAGTCACCAGAATCTGCTTGACATTTGACATGCTGGCAGGCAGAGCAGCATGCATTGGTGAGCTTGATTTATAGTGGCAAAGTACCGGCTGAAATAATGACATGACAGTGCAGCTCTCAGGTACCCTGACAACAACAGCATCCATCAAACTCGAGACAAACTCACACGTCTGGTTGAAAGCTTCAGATGCTCTTAGTGTCTCTCTACACTCACGATAATGTTATTTTCCAGGATAAAACAAATACTAGTAAATCATGAGTCAGATCGAGCACTCACTGTGGGTCCAGCCGGTCCCCATAGAAACACTATTGGATTACTACACAGAATAAAAACAGCTATTTTCGTTGAGGTCAAAATTCACATGCAAAGATCAGAGATCATATCTAACCAATGTCATGTTTTTTTCACCAGGGTTCACGCACCTCGACTGCTGCCACTTTCAGTCCCGTGTTTTATTTCCATTTAGTGGCTGACAGGTAAAAAAGACGTCCAGATGTCCCCGTCGGCTTGTAGCGATCAGCGTGATGGAAAAGAAAGCCTGATGACTGAATCCTGCTGATTTCGGATTAACCCAGCATCCTTAAGAGACCACGACTGCAGAAACCGTGAGATCGGTTTGTGGGGACGCTTTGATGGGATCTGGTCACTGTTCTCGTTTTTCAGAGGAGGGACAGAACAAAGGTTTCTGGTCTCATCCGCCTCAGTCCAGATCACGGCAAACCCTCTATCCTGGTTGGCTGACGAAGACCGGATCTGTCAGGCAATTCAGGTTTTCCAACACAAGATGGCGGTGTTAGTCTGACCTTTATCAATATAGGCTAATGATGCACCAGGACACCTCTGACATTCAGAACTTCAAAAAACTACCATAAGAAAACGATATTTGTCTTTTCCAATCCCTCATAAAGCAAAAGAGGTCACAATAAAAATACTAAATTACATTTTTTTAATTTTATTTTTTCACATTTAATTCGAAGCATATGTACATAGAACTCATGCCCCCATATCTTATATTCACTTACAAAGAGAAACTTAAAATAATTCTAATAAATCACATCATATAACAGGCTTGATATCTAGAAAAAAAATGTTAGAAAAAAACAGAACACTTCATATCACCATTTTCTAATCCTGAATTGGGGCCGGTTCCTTTCACACAATCAGAGGACCAAAACAATATCTTAACATATGCCTTCAAAGCACAACAAACCCACACAACAAAACGAAAATAAGCCATAAAAGAAACAAAGAACAAACGAAACAACAACAACAACAACAACAACAACAACAACAACAAACGTCTACATTTAAACCAAGTCTAAATCTGGTCTTTATCTATACTATACTGTATATTACTCAACGGCTATCATAATTATTTTGGTTAAGTACATGAAGATCAGTTATGCAACTCACAGCTGCTTTTTGAAGTAAATAGTTATCAAATAATGGGTTAAAATGCAACATCTAAATTCCGTCTTAAAATACACATAATCTAGACGGTTGAAATTAGGTCTAAAAAAACTAGACGTCAAATAGCCGTTTATTGCTCAGTGGGTAGATAGCCTGTGTTTCCATGAATGCTGTGACTGTGGGTCATTTGAGCTGTAAGCCAAAATTATAAATACTTAAGAGGACAAATTCTTGAAATATCTTATTTTATGTGTGATAAGCTTAGGAAATGTATTCACGTTAAAATTTCTTACCAGAATAGGAAAATTGTTGATCTTTCAAACGATATTCAACTATTTTAGGACGCACTCGTCAGTTCCAACGGTTCGGAGTCTGCACCTTTAAAACGTTCGAAATTGACCCGCAGAAGAAGAAAACGACCGGAAGTGACAATGTTATTGTCGCTGTCGGTATTTGAGTTTATCTGAAAAAATAAGCTCGCTTGTCTCTTTCTCAGACAGTGTATTCATTGACAGCTCCAAAGGCATTAAAAATTAAAACTAAAGGTTTAAAGAAACTACGAAAGGGTAACGTCATCCACAGTTTGTGGCGTAGCGCAGCAAAAACCAAGAAAAGTGTCAAAGAATGGCCAGATACCGAGGTCTGTGTTCGGCATTATAACCCATACAATAAAACATCTGCTTATAAATATGCAAGGGAATCCTACAGTGTTGGACTTAAAAAAATGCAGCATGTTTTTTTTCCCCTGCATGCATGTTGCAGAAAACAAAACTGTTATTTGTAGACAAGAAAAGTCCAATGTAGCCTATGTCTGACAGGTTGGATTAGAGGAGTCAAGGTTGTTATTTATAGATACATATAAATTTATGTTTATATGTATATGTTTATGAGTAAATCATTTACCTCTGTCTGCATCCTCTGTTAGATCCTCACCTCCCTCTGTCATCCCTCCACCTCCTCATTCCTCCTCTGAGGATGACTGCAGCTTGCATGTGGCAGGTGGCCTTGGACCGAAATGTGGACCGGTATGAACAACTGGCTGAATTCATCACACTGGTGACAGAGATAGTCCCAGATCTTCTGAGCTCCAGGCAGAGGACTCAGCTCATCCTGGGACTGAGAGCAAGGGTGAGTAAATGCAAATACTGTATAAAGGCTGTCAAATAAGAAATTAGTTAAAGAATTCAACATAAATGTTAGTGTTCTGATATTTAGATTATCGTGGAACTGATTACAAAGCAAGATCCCATCAGCTGTGAGGCTGTAGAGAAACATCTCAACATATTTCAAAAGATCACATTGAACCACAATCAAAAAAAGGTAACTGGATTGAAATAAAGAATTAAAATGGCAAGGATAACACAGATGTGAAGGTAACTCTCTTCTGGGCTTTGTCCTAGCGTCACGATCAACAGGTGCAGAAATCAAAGTCTGCATTTGTGAAGCAGGTTCAGACACTAATCAAGGACAAAGACAAGAATCACGAATTTGTCAAGGTGAGTTTTTCACTTTCAAGCTGTGTACTTGTTATTCTACAGTTAAGATAATCATGCCATGCGTTCATTCTATTTTTCTCTCCAAGGAGGTCCTTCCAGAGCTGTATGGCCCCCGCTTTGACACCATGTTGCAGATTTTGGTGTGGGAGTGTCTCTACAGGCTGGAGGAGCTTCTCCCTGTACCAAATTTCTCCAGGGTAAGAAGCAAACAGTCATTTTTGTGCACTTTATGATGAGCAATTGATACAAGTACTGCATTCATTTTGGTTCAAGTAGTGACAGAAGTCTTTTCATCTTCACAGATTTATTCGGCTGGCAGATGCATGTGTCTTTGAGGCAGTGTTTTAAATATGACTGTTTCTGTCAGCGCTCTAATGAGAACACAGGTTATTAATACAAAAGCAAATGCTGTCTTCAGAGCTGAAACTGACCATCAGAAAAAAGTGAAAATAGACACTTTTTTTCATTTAACAGAAACTCTTTTTTATCTTTTATAGGTGTCCTCCTTTATCGACCTGTCCTCCTTTGACTCCCAGTTTGATCAGTTTTTCTGTAACCACGATGATGTAAAGAGGATTCTGCAGCATCAAAAGAAGAGAATGAAGCTGAAAAAAAGTAGATATTTGTGTGTTTCTCATCATCAAACAAATAATATGAAAACTCCAAAGTGCACTATAAATCTTTGGATACATTGATGTTATCTGTAAATTACTTTATCTCAACTAGTCATAGTTATTTTTTGTCTTCAGGTGAATTCTCCTTCACATCAGATACTATCCTGGCTGCCCTGGCATCTAAACAGCCATCAGCACCATCAGAAATTCAAACTGAAGACTTAAGAGATGAAGAGGGTGGAGATGGCACAGACTCAAGAGATGACAGCAATGATGAAGAGACAGAAGACAGTTCAGATGAGTCTATAAACTCACGATGGCAAGACAGAGGGCTATCTCCGCTAACAGACTCTCCTTACTCCGAAGGAGGTGAGTTGGAGGGGCAAGATGTCATAGATGAGATACTAGAGCTTATTAAATGACTTCGGACAGATATAGTACAAAACATTATTGAAGAATATCGAGATCAAGATTAGTAATCATACTTTTCATGTAGGTTGGGGCACTTTTATTGTAATTTCATAGTTATATAAACAAAACGACATGTTCTTGTTCTTAAGGGATGAAGCACACATTTTTTGTTAATATTGCAGTCAATCATGTTAATTGTATTTTAAACCTGTGGCGAGGCTTACTTTTTTACCAGTGCAGGCTTAACTTAACTTGTTGCTAATCTTGCTACCCATTAGCTATCTGATGATGGTATATGCCTCTACAAACTAAGTTGTTGTTGTTATTATTTTTTGTTGGGGGGGGGGGGGGGGGGTGTTAATGTAGCCAGTTAATGTAGTCAGCGGTCAAGAGCGAACAACATCCAGCCAAAATCTTCTTTTCCTAGTCAAACTGTCAAATTAGTCAACCTGAGAATCAACTGCAAGTTTAGACTGAACACAAAGTAAACAAAAACTGAACTACTTCCCATTCCAAAAGTAGTCTCCATATCGAAATCCCGATCCAAATTCTGTGTTTGTATGCAGAACCTTGAAATCGAGTTAATCCTATTGCTAATCAGTGTTCTAAAATGTTGTGTATAATGTGTATTTGAATTCTAGTTCAAGCTACAAAAAAAGGCTTGTAAAATGTGTTCCTTTACAAAGTTCAAGAAATCTTTACTAAATTTAATTATTCTTATCATTTTTGTTTTTCCTTCCAGAAAATGCCAGCAGTGTGGTCTCTCCAGGCACCCAAGTTGTTCATGAAACAAAAGGGACACCCCTGGAGTATAACCCAGAGGATCCTGTAGCAAACAGTGCAAAAGCACAGGAAAATTTTAACCCCGGGGGGTTCAAGGTGAACTTAGCTTCCTGTTTAAAAGACATTGAGGATCTCACCTGTCCTGTGTGCTACAAAACTTTCTGTAGTGCAATAGCTGCAAGACGCCATCGAAAAAGAGCACATCCAATGCCTGAGCAGGTGTTTCGCTGTGACAAATGTGACATGACTTTCCAGACTAAGTGGCGTTTGGACCAGCACTATCAAGCTCACTCCATCAAGAAGCCGTATGTTTGTTCCCACTGCGGCAAAGGGCTTTCCTGTCCAAAAGTGTTAGAAACTCATATGCGACTTCACACAGGGGAGCGTCCATATGCCTGCAAGTTATGTGATAAGAAATTTGACCAGAAGTACACACTGACTCAACACATGAGAGTACACAGCGGAGAGAAACCATACCTGTGCAGTGTATGTGGGAAAGCTTTTGCAATCAAGGGAGCTCTGCGGGTCCATACACGTCTGCACACCGGTGAAAGACCGTACCACTGCAAGGAATGTGGACAAAGTTTTAGGATTATTTCATATCTTAAAAGCCACCAACTACTTCACACAAAAGAGCGTCCTCATACCTGCTCTCAGTGTGGGAAGAGCTTCCGCCTCTATGGTGGGTGGAAAATGCATATGAGAATTCACACTGGAGAAAAACCATACCAGTGTGTCGTGTGTGAAAAGAGATTTTGCTCATCAGGCAACCTGAAGATACACATGAAAAGTCACAAAACAACAAAATCAGCTCAAGTATCTACAGAGTGAGGTTCCTTTGCTCTAGGAATGACTTATGAATGATTTTTCTACATTGTCCTTAAAGTCACACTTCCTTAAACTCTACATGTGTGGATGTAAATACATGTTTATACAGTTTTATAAAAGTATTATCTCTGTGTTATGAGCATAGTCCAGTCAACAGTTCTGCTGCTGCTCTTCTTCTGAGAATGTTTTTTGTTGTTTATATATAAGTTTATTCTGTGGTTAACTTTTCTCAAAATAAAAGAACATTGTTGTAAAATTTTAATTGCATTTTTTTTGAGTGCTATTAAGTCTGATCTGGATTTTACTTGACTCACAATCTCTTATTCAAATGTATCAAATAACTGTTTAGTGTAAAAGGTCTGGTCTTTAATAAAGATTTGTTATTAATACTGACTTGAGGATGCATGCTAGTGTAATTTTATACAGTTATATTTCTATATCCGTTTTTATTTGTTTTTTTTTTAACAAGATCTGAAATGAAATAATGCTTCAGTTCTGATAATAAGAGAGACTTTTTAACCTTTTGGACTGTTCGTGAACGATTTAAAAAAGATTCTACTATTCATTTGCAAGACAAATACTATGTCAGAGGTTAATGAAACCGATGTACATATTGGTCATTTTGTCCAAATTAATGCTTGGACACGCGAGTGATTTTCACTCGACCAAACATGTTTACGTGATTTTCATTATGTTACGTTCCTCTGAGTATCATGGGTTCCTGGGTAGCTTCAGGATTGCCTTTGACATCTTTGAAGACATATTTGTTTCCATGATCCAAAACCTGCTTTTTCCTAAAGGCATGTGTTCGGGTGGTTTTCACCCGGCAATAGTGATAGAGGGTGAAGTAGGTTTGGGTGGATTTGATAGCTGCATGTAGGCGAATAAGGTCAGTAAGAGTGGTCCTGGAATTTGTATGCTTTCTTTATTTAGCACAGTGGTTGTGACTAACTATCACAAAGTAGTAGTAATATTTGAGTCAGCTTGGTCCTCTCTCCTGCAGCTGTTATTGTGCCAAGGACCCTGAGTCTTCACCAGGGAAGACTCACATGCCCCAGGAATGGGTGGAAAAGAAATTAAGGTTACAGTTTCGATATACATTTTTTTAAAGGAATTTTTTGTTCATGAATGCCTAATTTCAGTTATTTTGTTGCATTTTTATATGGTACCCTCATGGCACTTTTTGGACATCGCACAGTTAAAATGAAAGAAAACTACTTCAATTTGTCATGTTTTGTCCTATTTTGATATATTTTGATGCCAAGTCCTTTTTCTTGGGTTTATTATTTCGGGTAAAAATCACCCAGCGATAGTGATGGAGTTACTGATGTTAGCGAGAGTGTTCTCCGGTTGAAGAGGTGAATTTAAAGAACTCCAGAGTCTGTCCCTTTAAATATGGTGGGCAGTGTACGCAAATAAACACAGTAGAAGAAGAAGGCGACCGGAAGTTGATTTTGCCGAAAAGCAAGCAAAGCAGGTCGTTAAAAAACATCAGTTTGAGCTCGTCCCGTTACCAAAATGAAACTGAACATAGATCTGCCAAGAGAAAGATAGAATAAAGAGTAGTGGGAGCGATTGAAGCGTGACTTCATTCAAGGTTTACTGTATAGAGCTGCACAGGGCGAGCAAATCTAAGCTAGCTGTGACACGGATTGACAGAATGGCCAGATATCGAGGTCAGTTTTCCCTTTATGTATCATACATCAACATAAATAACTTTAAAGCTGTTATACCCATCCTGCTACAGGCTCAGTTTGATGAAAGGACACAGTTTGTAATCGTATGTAATCTACCAGTGAGGTGATGTTTGATCCTTGTGTCTGCATCCTCTGTTAGATCCTCACCTCCCTCTGTCATCCCTCCACCTCCTCATTCCTCCTCTGAGGATGACTGCAGCTTGTATGTGGCAGGTGGCCTTGGACCGAAATGTGGACCGGTATGAACAACTGGCTGAATTCATCACACTGGTGACAGAGATAGTCCCAGATCTTCTGAGCTCCGGGCAGAGGACTCAGCTCATCCTGGGACTGAGAGCCAGGGTGAGTTAGGTTCATTCATCAATCAATCAATCAATCAAAATCTATTTATAAAGCGCTTTTTCTACAGGAATGTGACTCAAAGTGCTTTACAGTCAAGTTAAAAACAAAAACTATCCCAGATGCCCCCTTACCACACACACATACACGCCAACGAACATACTCACACTAAGAGAATGGACATGAGGCAGAGGAACCAGTTGAGAAGGAGCCGTCAGCACCAGGAGCAGAGAGCCGCCCGCAGCCACAGGGCCAGCGGAGGGATGTGTCCGACAGCAACCTTCACCAGGAGCCCCGTGGCCGGCCCCTGCAACCACAAGCGACCACTGCTCCCGGTGCCGAGGGCTCCCTCAGAGGAAACACTGGGGGTCCTAAAAATGATAAAAGGATAAAAACAAGTAAAAAATAAAATATGAATAAAACACAGACCTAAAATAAACCTAGGCTAACTAGAATAAATGAAGATAAAACAAATAAATATAAATTAAAAGCTAAGCTAAAAAGGTGGGTCTTGAGCCTGTTCTTAAAAACATTAACGTTTTCCGCGCCCCTGAGGTCCTCTGGCAGGCTGTTCCATAATATCGAAAAGACGCCTCGCCATGAGTTTGACTGCCATAAGACTGCTTGTGTCAGTAAGACACAAATAACCTGCAGAGACTGGGTCACAAAGTACGCAAGCCGTCTCATGCTGCAGAGGGACTGGGCCATATGAAGTTCAGCAGCAGATGTTGTGATTTTATGGCACTGGCTGCAGGTGTGCAGGTCCCTCAGTGTCATGCCAACAAAACCACTGAAACCCTGACTAGCTGTTTCCTTCTCAGAGGTGGAATTTGTGAATAAAAACAGCTATTTGGACTTTGTATTTTTCCGTGCATTTCATATAATTCATATCAACAGGGTGTCTATCTCGGTGTTACAGTCTGTTTGACCCCAACTTAATTTTACGCTGGAGTAGCCCTTTAAATGACATTAAAAACGTATGAGAGAAATGTGCATTCCTTTACTCACTCTCACTATTTTGTGTCCATGGAAATAATATCAGCAAAAGATTCACAGCAACATACCGATAGCATGGCAGTGAAGGAACCCGCACACCACTTTGCAGCATGCTGCAAAACTACCTGCATATGGCATGTCGTTCAAATCAAACCGTTTAAGCTTTAATCTATTTGTAAATTTGGTCATTTTCAGGTCATCATGGAATTTCTGACAAAGCAAGAGCCTGACTATAATGCTGTCCAGGAACATCTCAACATTTTTCTAAAGAATGAAACAAACGACAATCTCGAAGAGGTAGAGAGTATGAAAAAGAGTTGCAGAATAAATGGATTGCTGGTTGTTCACAAAATAAACTTCTTCTTGGCTTTGTGGCAGGATGAAGATGAAGAACTGCAGAGATCAAAGTCTGCATTTGTGAAGCAGATTCAGACACTCCTAAAGGACAAATATGAAAAGGATAAATTTGTCAAAGTGAGTTCATCTGCTGTTCAAACTCTATTTTAAAAAAAAATATCCCTTTGTGCTTCTTCACCTTGTATCAATGCGATGTTTCCCTGTTAAAGGAGGTCTTTCCAGAGCTGTATGGCGCCCGTTTTGACACAGTGTTACAGATTTTGGTGTGGGAGTTCCTCTACAGACTGGAGGAGTTCCTTCCTGTACCGAATTTCTCAAAGGTAAGAAGCAAACAGTCATGTTTGGTCACCTTCAGATGAGCAATTGATTTCCAGGACTGCATGAATAGAGTGATTTCAACTGTAATATATCTGCCCTCTGTGGATGTAAGAGGAAAGGGTCGAACAGTTACCAAAGAGAAATTTGATTTTGGTGATGAGCTTCATTTCTCTCTTTCCTTCTTTCTCTCTCTTTTCTTTTTTAGGTATCCTCTTTCATTGACCTGTCCTCCTTTGACTCCCACTTTGATCAGTTTTTCTGTGATCAAGATTATTTAAAGAGCATTCTTCAACATCAGAAGCAGAGAACAAAGTTGACAAAAAGTAAGTATTAATTGTGTTACATTTTGTATTGATAAGAAAAGCATCAAGTAAACTCAGTTTTTTAGCATTTCTCAGCCTTTGGTTAAATAAAATTACTATATTTCCATCACAGATTCATCAGGAACACATAAATAAAAAGTTCCTGTGCATGAAAAATTCATTTTTGGATTGTTGGTATCTCTGAGTGCTGATGACAATGATTTCTGCTTCAGGTGAATTCTCCTTCACATCAGACACTATCCTGGCTGCTCTGGCATCTAAACAGCCATCAGCACCACCAGAAAGTCCGATTGAAGACTTAAGGGATGAAGAGGGTGTGGAAGATTGTGCAGATTTAAGAGCTGGAAAAGGTGAACACGTCAGTGATGAAGAGACAGATGACAGTGCAGTGGAGCCTTCACACTCTCAGTGGCAGGACAGAGGGCTGTCTCCGTTAACTAACTCTCCATACTCTGAAGGAGGTGGGATGGCAGAGGAAGATGGTGGGTATCCTTAATGTCATAAATGAGTTACTACTAGAGCTTTTAAATGACTTAGCATTAGTTCTGGTAGGATCCTTGTATTAAACAGTTCAATTTAAAATAATAAATATGTTTGTTTTATCATGTAAAGATCACAATAATTATAGTTTTGGATTAAATTTAAGGCCTTCTTTTATTGTCCTTTCACATTAAGATTACGTTTTAGAGCACATGATTTCTCATGCAGCAGACAAACAACAGTTTGGCTGTTAATCACGTGAATCTCAATCACAGAAAGGCCAAAACTGTGATCATACATCCGTTGCCTTCTCTCTGCTGTAACTCTCAACATGAACTATTATTCCTACATACCAAAAGACAAAAACCACAACACTTCTCATACCAAATTCTGGATGCAGATCCTGTATGAATGATGAGAGGAGTCTGGACTTGAACTTAACACAACTGAAGAAAACAGGGGTTTACAGGTTAGCTCATGATGACGAGGAGTACAAACCTCTGTTCACAGAATCAAAACTAACCCAAACTTTTTTCCTCAAACATTGCCCTTCACATGGCATCATGGGTAATTAAGTCCTTTTAATATAGTACAAGCCATTTGGCCTCTTAATCATTTCCTGAATTCAAACTTCAAAAAACAAATAAACCAATGAGTCTCCTTTTAACTTATTATTTACCATGTTAACTGTTTATGTCTAACATGAAGTCAGTGACTGCTTTACTGGGCAATTATTAATTAAAGTTCCAACAAGCGGGACTTTTGCATTATTCTAGGAGGATGTGTTGGAACCCTAACCCTAGAAATCCAATTAGACAAACATTTTAGCTCCTGCTTCAGAGCTGGTAATCTGCCAGCATAAGAAAGACTTCAAGTGGCACAAGTGTCTGGAAACTGATCCATGGATGGGTGTGGGTTAATTGGTCGAACATGAGCTAGTTCAGTACTACAAACCAACATTTTTAGATGCCGCTGATTAGCTAAGGAACAGTAAATAATGACCTGTAAAAGCTCTTGAGATTGTTAAAAATGGAGAAAAGCACAAGAAAATGGCAATGAACACGATCTAGACTCAGCAATGCATATTCTTTAATCATCCCACCACATTGCAAAGAAGTGCCATGTAAAGACAAGAAAACTTGAAACTGCAAACACACCCCTCCTACCACCGTGTCCTCCATATTTTCAAGCTGTATTGAGTGAGTGAAGTTGGTCTAAGGACTGTTGACCAGCTCAGGTCACTTTGGGATTCATATCAGCCATCACTGTGGTGGTGCCAAGCTGATAGGAGAAAAGTCCCCATAGTGAGTAGTTCTTGAAAACCATGCTAGTGAACAGGTCTTTAAACTGTTTGGTCAAAAAAGACAAGTATTTTTATCCTGTTGTTTTTCTTTTAGGTAATACCAGCAACGTGGTCCTTCAAGGCACTCATAGTTCTCTACAAGTTGCCTACGAGACACAAGTGACACTCCTGGAGGAAAAGTCAGAAGACTCTTCAGCCAACAGTGCGTTTGTGCAGGAAAGTTTCCACTCTGGAGGGTTACGGGTAAACTTGCCTTCCAGTTTAAAAGAAATTGAGGATCTCACCTGTCCTGTGTGCTTCAAGACTTTTAAGAGACCAAGAACTGTAAAGCGTCATCTAAAAAGTGCACACCCGATGCCTGAGCAGGTGTTCCGCTGTGACAAATGCGACAAGACTTTCCAGGCTAAGTGGCGTTTGGACCAGCACTATCAAGCTCACTCCATCAAGAAGCCGTATGTTTGTTCCCACTGCGGCAAAGGGCTTTCCTGTCCAAAAGTGTTAGAAACTCATATGCGACTTCACACAGGGGAGCGTCCATATGCCTGCAAGTTATGTGATAAGAAATTTGACCAGAAGTACACGCTGACTCAACACATCAGAATGCACAATGGGGAGAAACCGTACCTGTGCAGCGTGTGCGGGAAAACCTTTGCTCTCAAGGGAGCTCTGCGGGTCCATACACGTCTGCACACCGGTGAAAGACCGTACCACTGCAAGGAATGTGGACTGAGTTACAGAACAATGCAAACTCTTAAAAGCCACCAAACACTTCACACAAATGAGCGTCCATACACCTGCTCTCAGTGTGGGAAGAGTTTTCGCCTCCAAAGTGGATATAAAAAACATGTAAGAATTCACACTGGAGAGAGACCATACCAGTGTGTCGTGTGTGAGAAAAAGTTTTACACATCCAGCAATCTGAGGATACACATGAAAAGTCACAAAACAACGAAATCAAGCAAAGCATCTCCAGAGTGATCCTTGTTCTTTGCATTCTGACACGTTTGTGTTTTCATTTGTTTTATCAAAAGTAAGCAAAATTAAGTCTTTAAAAGATTTTCTACTTTGACCCAAATGTCCCGACATCTTCAATCACGCACGTTTGGATGTTTATACAATTGTACACAGTTGTTTCACATTAGTGTTTAACTACAAAGCTTGACGAACAATTCCTCTGTTGTCTTTTTTTGAAAAAATGATTATTTATTTATATAAAATAAAAAATATTATCTGGCCTTTGCAAGTTGGGTTTGGTTTTCCAAAATAAAAGAAAGATCAGATCTAAAATTTGACTTCTCTTTTAAGTGTTGTTATTGTGTCTCAAACTAATACAGTATATCAAATATTGACTCCTTATGGGGCATTTTAAAGGCAAAATTTAGTGATGTAAATATTAGATTTGAAGTCAGATTGTCATGTGGGTGCATACTATCAGTAGAATGAAGTTTTACACTCTGCTTTATTTTAGCTTTGGTTGTAGAATAGTAATTAATCACAAGAAAAGAAACTAAAGGTCTTCTGACAATGAGTTACTATCTATAAGATAACCTTTTAAAATTTGATATTATTTCCACACCATATTGGAAGTGTTCAGACACTTGATGAAAAATTTAAAGAAAAATGATCAAACTTTATAGGGAGGTGAATATTGGGTATCAGGTGCAGTAACTTTGCTTTTCTCCATGCTTTCTGGTAAAAGTCGATTATGATAGCTTTTAAACTAGCTGGTTGGCACTAACATAGGCGTTTTGGCAGCCTATGAAATGATTTTGTCAAATATGAAGCCGTTTTGAAGAAAGACAAGTACACAATTAAATCAAAGAAAAACATGTATTATAGTTAAAGCTCTTGGGAGGATTTTTAATGTTTATGAAGCAGGCTGAAATTCATACTGATGTCTATTTGACACACGTGAGCAAACAAGACAGATGAGTTTTATGACATAACTTTTGATGCCTCAAATCAGGGCAAAGGAAGACACAGCGCTGTTTTTAACAACACAATTGGCATAGCTTTGTTACGGCTCTGTTAAAACTCAATCATGATACTGTCAAACGCTGTGACCTTCTGTGATTGTACAGTACAAAACAGTTTTGATGCTAAAAAAGGTGCATGCTCAATTAGATGTTAGAAAAACACTTGTGCTTCTTTAAAAAAGGAGAAAGTGTTTGTAGCTGTGTTTGAACGAAAATGCTCATGATACTGTCAATGTCTGTGGCAGTAGAGACTGACACCTGCATGTAAACAAACCTCCTTTAAAGCATGTAAGGACCAAATTGATAGTATGATGGATGACAGCAAATGGAGGACCGAGAAGTCCCTGAAAAGAGATAACAGATAATGGACACTGTTTAAGACAGCAGCGACGATGATGGAGAGGCTGACGACAGCTTCAATAAAACCACACCATCATTTCCTCTGCCAGAGGACAGTAGAAAATATGAAACCACAAATATGATATGTCACAGCTACATGGTGTAGACAACACAACCACAACACACAAGCCTCTTCCGATACTCACAATGAGTCCAAACAGAAATATACTGTGGTGACTACAGTTGCTGCTAGGTTAAATAATAAAGTGTGTCCCTGAGTAACTTTGAGGCCTGCAGAAGGTCACAGCCTGTCTCTCTCAGAGCAATAGATCATTTCTGTGTTTCCCAAGGCAGACTGAAGCCAAAGCTGTCCTGATAACACTGATCTGGCTCCTTCTCCAAGGAGACCAAGGTCACAACAGATAAGCTGAACTTTACCCCCAGACTCTGTCCAGCTACTGTTGACTCATCTCATGCATTTATATGACCTGAGGATTTACATGCCTCTGCTCAACTTATGTACTCAAAGTTTCTTACCATACAGCCGTAAAAGAGTCTTCATAGAGACCGGTCATACATAGATGTATGTAGATGTGGCTTCATACTTAATGCAGGGTTGAAAAAGGTTACCCTTTGTTGGGGAAAAAACAACTTTAGAAATCAAGGTCTCTTGGAACTTATTTAATCCCTGGCTCAAGTGATAGTTGTGAACATCCACTAATCAACTGTCTCGCTTGTTATTGTTTTTCCCTTGTAAAGACATTGTACAAAACCCTGTGTGAACGAGTGAATCTACTGTCTCTTGCTGGCAGAAACAGCTGGTGAAGCTGCCTTCAAAGCACACACATGTTCAGAAATTCAGTGACAAGATTGAAGAAAGGGAACATCTGGATCTGAGGAGAAACAAGGAGCCATTAAAAAGGGAGGCAATCCGTTGTTTCTGTGCTATTCAAAGCACAACCAGAGTGTGCTTTTCAACAAAGCAAACTGTAAAGACTATACTCAAACAATATTGAAGCAGAAATAGAAACTACAATTTTGGTGTGTTCTTGTAAGGAAAATAAGTCTCCTCATATATACAATTCATCACCCCTACCACTAGAGGGAGACACACACTTACCCATATTCTGATCAAACCTGGACAAACACCTAAATAAAAAAGCCCAGAAAGAAACTCTCTTGCTTTAACAACCCCTATGGCATCCCTCCCAGGAAACAGGGCTCAATAATTCATAGCAGGCACTCATAAATTTCAATGAGTTTCTAATTAGGAGGAGCTCTGAGTAATTGTCTCTGAGGTGGTTTTAACAGGAGGAGAATCATGCTGACAGATTGACAGAGTCCTTGTGGCAGATTGCTGCAAATCACCTAATTATGCATGGAAATCAAACTTTAGGCTTTAAATGATGGGTGTTTTGGTTTTATTGTGAGGTTTTATGACTGACAGAGATGGTGGGGATAGTGGGAGAGAGGATTGTGTGGCCAGGTGGCATGTAACTGTACATGTTACCCTTTTCTGTTTAGCAATGACTGGGCTCATCACTGCAGCTAGGATCATTCTTCGCCACTGGAAGAGTCAGACTCGACCAGAATTTACTGACTGGGTTGAGCTGATGATGGATAATGCCTCCTATGAACTAATGATAGCCAGGTTGAATGATAAAGAGAAATTTAACCATTTTCTGAATTATATAAGAGGGAGTAGGTGCGTATGACATGTGAGGAGATGATGACTTATATGTGTATGTATATATGTGCAGGTACATGTGTGTATAAAAACTTAAATTACAAATATATTTTATCCTTTTCTGTTATAGTCTACTGCATTTGTTAGTGCTATCATCCTCTATCACAGTCACCTTGCATATTGTGCTTCAGCAAAAATCTAATGCAGTTTTAAATTGAGGGACATATTTTGTTTATGTTTATTTATTTCATATTGCAAAGGGCTATTTTTCTGTTGGCCAGAAGCTACTTACTGTTATTAATTGTATTTCTGCCTGTGTAAGAACTGTAATAGAATTGTGTATAAGAAAACATTTTTTATGTAGGCATCACTCCAAAATAATATTCGCTTTAAGAGCAAGTTTGTTGGACTGAACTACTGCTCAAGCTTCAGAGAGATAAATTACATCTGAGTCCAATAAAGCAGGCCGCGCATAGCAGTATTCACTTAGTGGAGTTCATTTACAGCCATAAAACAAAGGTCACTGACACCCGTGGTCTGGGACGTCTCATGGATATTAGGCACTATTTACTGATGGAGGATAATTTAGTGGGAGAACCCATAAGGACGCTGGATGGTGGCTGTGGAGGGACATCCAGAGGTATTTTGTATGTGTGTGAGCGCCTGAGCTTTGACTTGGCAGGAGACACTGGACAGGTGGATGCTCAGCCAGCCAAAGTCCCATTACTTGCTCGGGGGGCAGCAAGTGTGCGTGCGCTGGAGTTTGTGCGCGTGCGTGCATGTGGTAATTACTTTTTCTCAGTGTGTGTGTTTGTACGTGTGTGTGTGCGCGTGCAGTGCGGTGATTAGAGATGGGTGGCGGGTGGAGGGGGCTTGTCAGAAGTTATCTCCCCTTCTCATCTCATCATAGGCAGTCTGGCGGATTCCCTCGATGGCTCAACAGCCCGACGCTGCGCTGCTTGCTGTCAATCGGGCCGTCAACGCCTGCAGAAATCGATGCCAATCTCCCTCAGTTTCTATTTTTAACCGCAGCTCAGCACCCGGGCCTTTGATAAGGATGCTGCCTCCTTTTGGCTCTCCTCTTCGCCTCGGATGAACGCCCCCCTCCCCTCCTCCCCTCCATCCTGCTGATGAGCGGTGATAACAGACAGACGAGATGGAGCTAAAAGCACAGACCTGCCTGACACTGTGAAAGAAGCTTTCATGGTGGAGAGAAAATGATGATTGTTAGCACTATTACGAGTAGTAAGAGCCATACGGGTTGTAAAATTATTAGCCAGAGACATGATTGCATTTAAATTGTCACTTTTATCAGCTCTAACACTCCTAGTGGTGGCACTTAGGGATAGTACAGCTACCAATAATGTGTTACCACTTCCTTTACTTGAGCCTTTTATTGACATACCATATTAACAATTATACAGTCTAAAACGTATCAGACAGCTCTGAAGATATTAATGAATTAGCTGGAATTTAATGTGTGTTTGGTGAAATTTCAGTGTCTAGATTATATTTCTAATCCCTACCCTCATGGAGTTCAAGTCTTACAGTGGAAAGCTCTAGAACAGCTGCCAACCTGATGGTCATGTGACCTGCTGCTGGAGTTTAAATAAAACGTATTGAGTGTGCAAACAACTGCCTTTGAAATGTTATAAAAGTAAATGTCTTTTGTCAACTTAATCTCTATCATCTATTGCCTTACTTAAAGCTCCAGTGGGCAACTTTCAGTTTGTGTCAATTTTTGTGCCTACTGTGGTGCAGTATTTGCTTTTCTAGTCCTCTCTGTATAAATTATGTTGGTAACACTTTACTTGATGTCTATCTCTATACCGCATCATAAATATATGTATAATACATAATAATCACGTTATAGCACTGTATAACTATAGTTATAAACACTCATAAATGATCATAATGCTTTATAGCAATAATCATAACACATTATAAAGCATTTTATCATGACTTACAAGGTCAGGTATTATAATGTGTCATGCTTATTGTTATAAAGCATTATGATAATCAATGAGTGTTTATAACTATAGTTATACAAGTTTATAAGCATATTATAACACATCATAAATATATGCATAATGCATTATCTATGTGGGCATTTTCAGTGAGTTGTTAACACTTATAACACATTATAATACCTGACTTTGTAAGTCATGATAAAATGCTTTATAATGTGTTATGATTATTGCTATAAAGCATTATGATCATTTATGAGTGTTTATAACTATAGTAATACAGTGCTAGAAAATGATTATAATGCATTATATATATATCTATA